CAAACAAGACCCATCATCATCACCCTTTATTTTTAGAACATTGTCTGTGATTAATTTGATATTGTGACCATTTCACTTCAAAGTTCAAATGGTGGTATCGTTCACAAGAACCGAACGGCTTAAAAAAAAAAAAATCACAAATCACGTGTTTTATAGTCACAGATTTCTTCAAGAATTAAGAGAGCCCAAGAGCTAATTCCAGAACAAGAGCTTAAAAGTTAGTAAAAGGCGTCCAATTTGCAAAGTAAAATACCGATTTCCTGGTCCAAATTTTTTTCTCTTTGGAGAAGACATTTTAAATTTCTCAACTCATAGATTACATTCATTGGAGCACCATAAAACATGAGAAATAAATTTTCCAAGTTAGTGTGTGTAAAATCTGGATCCAATACAGAGAACTTATAAGGCAGTTTTTAAGGTTAAGAATTTCTGGAATAAGTTATAAATTTTTTAAGTCAGCCAAAATTCTGAAGCATACCAGATTGAAGTGAATGCAATTGATGAGCTTTTACGTGCAAGATGCAAGATTTTTTAGCATCTAACTGCATCTAATAGAACCTAATTAACATATAGCTTCTGCTTCTGAATAAGGATTATTCTAAAGTAGGATGTGACATTCTTGGGTGTTAGATTAAAGCCTAGAGACTGATTTCATAATTGGACATACAAAACCATAGGTGTCAAATTAATGATCAGTTTTTAATTTGTTGGCAAATTAAAATATTGTTTACCTTTTCCCTATATTAAATAAACCATGCCTTTGTATATAAACTAATAAAAGACCATTATTGACCTTTCAGTCAAGAAAGAACGATGGCTTAGGAAGTCATAGGAGCTGGATGTGATTTCTTCTTTTTGTTTGTTTTGCATTTTGTAGTTGCGTTCTTTTGGTTGTAGAACTGGTTGTGCCTCTTTTGCAGTAATGAATCTTTGTTTCCTGTTGGGGAAAAAAAAAAACAGGAAGAAAGAAAGAACCAACGATGGCCCCAAAAAAAGTTAACGAGTAATAACATTAAAACAAAATTTTATAATAATTTAAGGGTTACTACCATCTTTAGTCCTTGAAATTTGAAACTAACGGTTGGAATTTGAAACAAGTAACTTTGGTCCTTGAAATTTAACATCATTTTGATTTTCACCCTTATTTTAGGAACAAAAATTTTTAAACCTGATCAAAATGAAGTCAAATTTCATGTATTAAAACATCGGTTCAAAATTTCAAGGACCAAAATTAAAATAAGATCAAATTTTCGGAACCGGAACCACTGGTTTCAAATTTTAAGGACCAAAACCAAAATGAGGTTAAATTTTAGGAACCAAATCAAAATGTGGTTAAATTTTTTAAACTAACAAGGGTATTAACCTTTTAAAAATGGAAAATCGTCTTCCTAAGTGGGAAAAAACATTATTAGCTGGACTCGAGTAAAAAAGCTGGCCAGTTGGCCAAAAAAGAAAAAGAGAAGAAAAAAAAAGGGTACTCTCCAGTTGGCCAAAAGAGAAAAAGAAAAAATAAAAGTGCTGGCCAATTTTTTCTTTTTCTAAAGCCTCACTTGTCAGCTTTTTAGTGAGCGATACACCTCCAAGAAACGCGCAAATGCTCATGATACTACTAACAAATCCAGCACATAATAGAGAAAGATTCATAACGTCAACATGATTATTTTTTAAATGCAATACTCGTGTAACTTATTAAAATCAAAGTAAATTCTTCTGTTGTATTTTATATCTAGAAACAAAGGGAACTAAGCAAGGGAGAGGAGAGAGTATAATACATGTACATATATCAAACTAACTTCTTGCAACGGATGAGTAACATGTACCTATTCTCATTCTTTTTGTGGAAACTTGACATGTTGCTTACTTGTTCTATACGGAATTTTTTATAGATATGTTCCTCCCTTGATATCACATAATGATTTTCTCTATGATATAATTTGTGCGGCAAAGTTGTCGGTTTTCTATGTTAATATCTTTCTTTCTTTTTTTTCCCCCCATACGAAAGGTATTCTGTGTTAATATTGATATAAGAGGATATGAAATATGATAATGTCGTGCATTACTTGTTATAAGAACATCTTGGATCATTACGGTTTAATATTTTTCTCAGCCCTCAATTTATTTTCAAGTGAAGTTAACTTAAATTACTTGTCCTGTTTTCAATTCATATTAAAGTAACATAAGTCTCTTGCTTATTACGTACTTGGTATGTCAAAAGATGAAGGAGTGAAAAATAGAGCTACGGCTAAGTTGTTTTTTAATAAATATTTAACTTTTTGCAATCATATTAATGATAAAGTTATAAATTTATATATTGATGTTTATAATCAAATTTAATTGTTTCACCTATCATATTAAAATGACAATAATCACTTTTGTTGACATAACTTAAATCAAGGACAAAGCTTAGATCAAGTTGCTCATGTCCTCTAGTAAATTTTTCAATCACATTTTTTATTTTTCTATTTTTTTGCCAACGAATTTTTGTTGCTAAAATGTGTATGTGTACTTATAAATTCATCTATGAATGGTTGTAAATTTTTTTACAAATTCTTATAATGTAAACCAAGATTTGTAAATTTTTATAAGGACACTTGTTGTTTTACAACTATTGGTTGTTAAAATGCATATATGGACTTGTAAATTCATTTATGAAATATGGAAACTTGTTATTTTGTTATTGTATCTGTCAAAATGTGTATACATGCTTGTAAGTTAACTTATGAACTTGACGTATGTAATGAATATAAGTTAATTGATCTATGTCTTGTTTTTAAATAAAATAGTTTTAATAACATGCAAAAATGGGAACAAATCAGCTGAATTGGGGAAGCAGAGAAGTAGCTTTGTGACTAATACCGAACCGCAAAACCAGTCTTAAGAGAATCAGGAAAGAAAAGCAGGAGGGCGCTTGAAGAAGACAAAAGAAGAAAAGGGGGGGGGGGAGCGCTTGGAGAAGACAAAAGAAAAAAACAAATGGAAGAAGAAGAAGAAAAGAAAAGGTGAAAGCGCAAGGAAGAAGATGACCATGATGGCTTTATTCTTTCCCTTGCGCGTTTTTGCCGACGGGTTGTTGAAATTGAAATTTCATTGAATTTTCTTTTGGGATTTCACCGTCAGGTAGAAGAAAGATTAAGGAGGATGTAGGGTCTGCTTCTTGTCTATATAATGCCTCTCTGCTTATCTCTCTTCTCCACACTCACATCCGCTTCTTTAAGATTTGGTTTGGGCGAAGTTACAATCTCATTCTGCCATTTCTTTAATTTAGTAAGCCTCTGCTTCTTTGACATCATTAACTTCTTATTGGTTGTTGTTGGTTCATTTTTCTCCCCCACCTCCTCATTCATGCACTCTTTCTTCTTCAAGTTTTCCTTCTTTTGGGCGTCATTGATATATTTTCTGTTTATGGGGTTCTTGTTTGGTCTGGTCTTCCATAACTATGACCTATAGTTCCCGTTGACATCATTTAAATTTAATTTGGCAAGGGCTTAAATTTAATAGTCATTGAAAGAATTCAGTTGACTGCTTTCATGAAAGTAGAGGCGTACGTACACAGTGAAAAGAAATAAGATCAGCAGTTTTGAATCTACCTTTCTTCTTTGATCGTTTGCTCTGTTCTTGAATTCTCGATTCCCTACAGTGTTACTGTATTAGTGTTAGACTGGAAGAGAAAAGTGATATATTCATTTCTTTATGCAGATCACATGTTCGACACAATGACTGCCGATAAAGAAAAGCTCAAGATACCATCCGTCTCAACGGCGCACGTCTGATTGAGGTAAAATTTATCTACTTTTCTTTTTCTGTTTCATTCTCATATCTCTCACTTTTTTTTTTTGTCACATGGATTACCGGAGAATTGATTGCATTTTAACTTTAACTTGATTCTCAAATCACAGATTATTTTTTGTTTTGTTTTTTACACCGGTTGTACTAGTAACATTTTATACACTGGTTTTGCAACCAGTGTAAAAAAATTGAACTTTTAATACTGCCCATTTCTACACATGTCATCTTTCTAATATTAAATGCCTATTCTAACTAGCCTAAGCTGCATTAGTTATGCTCATAAATAATATCTCTTTCTCAGAGTTTTTATAGAAATATGGAGGAAGCCAATTTGACGTACATGCATATATGGTTTATAAATAGTGTGTTTAGTTGAAATATTAACTTATATTGAGTATGGTATTTTGACCTATGCAGCATTTATATATTTATTCATTTTGTTTTTTCGAAGGTCTTTTCTAAATGTGATTCAGTGATTGATTTTCTGTAACATCTTAGACCATCCCAAATTGATATATTTTTATTAATATAATAATAAAATTATTTTTGAACATTTCATGTAAGCATGATGGTCCAATATATGTAAGAAATAATATTAATATCTGTGAAGTAAACGTTATAAAAAAATTAAATAACCTAAAAAGATGAATTGAACCAAATGAAATCAAATTCATCAGAATGCGAAAAGAAATGAAAATTAAATATATTATCAAAAACATCCGTTAACAATACAATAATAAAATTATAAAATAAAAACCATGTCCCTCACCATCAATCCAAACTTGTCCCATGTTTCAACTTCTCTTTCCATGTAGGAATAACAGCATATTCAGTTGCCTGAAACCTCTTCTTCCGGCCAAGATTGGGAATTGCTGGATAGTTGAGCAAAGCTTGCCTTGTATATATAACAACCCCTTCAATTAATTTGTCCATTGAAGTCAATCGTGCCAGAGACAATGAGTTCGTCGGTCGGTGAAGTCCAGGGCCTAAATCTGGAGCAGAAATTGCGTAGTGATGCCATGAAAGGAAAGTGGTCAGAAGTATTGGAAACTTGCAAGCGAGAGAGGGCGCCTTGGACGGCCAAGATAACAGGGACGGGAGATACAGTTTTACACATGGCTGTGTCTTGCGGGCAAACGAACATGGTTGAATTCTTAGTTGAATTCTTAGTTGAACAAGAAAACTGTCCCTTCCAAGAGGATGTGGAGCTTACAATGAATGAAAATGGTGAGGAAAGCTGGAACGTGAAAGCTGTTCTTGGCGCCGAAAATGATAGAAAGAACACTCCATTGCACCTTGCAGCAATAAGAGGAGATGTTAAAATGTGCAGGAAGATGGGTGACGGAGACCCCTCTTTAATTGCTCGTCGCAACATTGATGGCGAGACACCCCTTTTCTTAGCGGCTCTCCATGGCAACAAAGAAGCTTTTCTTTGGCTTTATTATCTGTATGTGGGAATCCATGATGTTTCTTCGACCGACATTGATCAATGTATAAGGAACAACAACGATGACACCATTCTTCATTGTGCAATTGCAGAAGGGCATGCTGGTAAATCTAAATTAGCATCCATTCTTTCAAATACTGTTAATATACTTACGATGAAGTACTGCTAAGTGCAGACGTGGCAATCGAAATCGTTCACCTTTATAGAGATCATTTGGAAAACATGATGAAGCGCAACAAGCAAGGGTTGTCTCCACTTCATCTCCTAGCAGCAAATCGTTCAGCTTTCGAAAGTACTGCCCTCCTTGAACTACCAAGCCTTGCTCGTCCAATTTATCGTAAGTTCTATGTCTGTGAAGGGAATGCAATGTGAACATGTGTGTGTCTATGATTTCATGCTTGGCTTTCTTCTAATGCATTTCAAGCTTCCTAGCTATATCAATGTTTGAAAGAATTCCCTCCTATCCTTAGCTTGTTACGATTATTTAATAATAATTTTACATAAGTTAAAAAAGTTAGTTTAAATACGTTATGTTTTTTTGGTAGAATATCAAAATTACCTTTAATAAAAGTCATTACTTAAAGGATTTTAGTCAATTGGTTGAGAAATTTTTAATTAGTAAGGGATACCAGTTTGAAAAAATTAATACTTTAGACAAGACACATTATATGATGAAACATACTTGAGATTTTTATAATAAAATCCGGAGTACCATTTTATAACGATGAATATTGTTTACGTTTCTTCTCTGTATGGCCTTATTTGAAAACTAGAAACGTTATGTTTCTCAAGAGTTCAAATATGTAGCACGCCACACAAATGAACTAGTTAGATATGCAAACATTTTTGGAAATAACTCATAAATACTTAATTAAATTTTATGAAGTTTCTTGCATTAAGGAACAAGCAAAATTTTCAGAATGTGTTCATATTAAAAATGGGGGAGTATTTGTAGTTTCTTTATCCACACACACACAATAATATTAAAAATGGCTTGTTTGTTTGGAACTTCGAAGGGTTCTTGGCAGTTGAGGAGAAGAATGAGGCCACGACGCTTCAAGAATTGCATGCCAGCCAGCGAAGCAAATGTAAGCACTTTGTTTGATTGTGGCAATATGGTAAATATGTCATCTAAGAGTCTGTAATTATAATTGACTTCAAGATAACAAAAAAGAAGCTGAAAATTACTAAATCCCAAATCAGGTTTGGTAATAATAGTTTATTTGGTATTGATAATACTAAATTTATAAAGGATAACAAATTTTTGTTGATATGCCTTACTTGGCATTTACAATTTTTCAGCTTTTTTTGTGTGTCATTTTTCCTTGACTTTAACTTGTGGATCATTTCACTATTTGAGTTACGTTTCCACTACATAAAAATTATGTTCACGCTTTATATTTTTTTAAGTCAAGAAAAATTTTAGAGAGAGAATTGTATTATGCTAACAAATAGTGTTTGGGAATCGAGTGGGATACGGTTCATTGATTCGTGTGTAATATGTTAAGACACTAACAAATTTTGTGACTCATAATATTTAATTTGCAGAAAATTATAAAGAAAAAATCATTTGGTACAAGTATGCATAAAGTCAAATACGCCCCACAAATGAACTGGTTAGATATGCAAGCATTTTTGGAAGTAACTCGCAAATAGTTAATTAAACTTTATGAAGTTTCTTATATTAAGGAACAAGCAAAATTTTCAGAATGTGTTCATATTAACGACGGGGGAGTGTTTGTACTTTATATATATATATATATATATATATATATATATATATAATATGCAGATGGCTTGTCTGCAGGGATCTTTGAAGAGCCTTGGAAAGATGCGAAGAAGAAATCTGCCGTGGTGGTTGAAATATTGAAAAGCACGTTACTCGGTAGCTATTTTCTTTTGTCCACAACAAATGTGCATTTATTTTACTTCGATTTAGCTTAAAGACCTTTCCCTGAACAATATGAAACTATGATACTAGGAAGAGATGAAATATGGATAAAAAATTAATCATTTAATCCCTAAAATTTTGATTCAGTGATAACTCAGTCTTCAAATTTTAATTTGATGCAACTCATCATTTGTGTGGTTTAATACATTTCTCCCCATAATTTAGCAAATATATAAGGTGCATCTATGATTGTGGCAAGATGGTAAATATAATATGCCCGCTAAAGTATGTAAGAAATGACACTCTTGCGTACTTATTAGTTCATCACTTTGTGCTTTTTTCCTGCCTTCTTCCATCAAGTGAGGTTTTCCCTACGCACACCATCAAAAGATACAATAATGGATAAGAAATGAACGCCAAAAATCCTATTTTTATTTAATATTTTAGTTTTAATTTGAACTTGTTAAAATTTTACATGTATGAATGTTTGTTTGTGCAATTTACATTTTTCTTTTATCTTATGGATCATCTCATTATTTGAGTTACATTTCCAATATGTGAAGATTTTATATATGTTCACTCTTTATAATTTTTTTAAATTCGACAAAAACATTAGAGGGATAATTATATTACTGTTAAGAAATAGTATTTGGGAATTGAGTGGCATCGTACGGTTCATTGATTCGTATATATCTAATAAGTCAAGACACTAACAAATTTTGTGACTTAACATTTGATTTGCAGAAAATGATGAACAAAGCATTTTGGCAAACTTTATAAAGTGGATATGCATTACTTTAGGGCTGCTGATAGTGCTCCCCATTTTCCTCGTGGAATCAATCCTCGAGGCTTTACTTTTGGCTGCCATCAGTTTCCTTGCGTTACTCGTGCTATTAACCTTTTCTAAAGCTGGTAGGACATGTCATGCAAGAGCGTACATGTACAGTTTATTTAATGATGATGATGATAATGATGATGATGATGCAACCATCTATAATGATTTTGAGGGAAAAAAGTCTAAATGAACACGTCATTTTAATTACATATAATTATAAATTTCTGTGTTAAATGATAAATGTTTTAAAACATTTTGTCCCTAACTAACCTATATGGGTCTTGAATAGACGTATCTAGCTGGTACCGTCTGTTTACTATACCACAAATGAAGAAAGAACACAAATGCTGGCATCAAATAATGACCAAACTCCTTCAGCATGCCTCCAAAGAAGACATGTCACAAGTAATATCAAGAAACCCCTCAGAGCAGCTTTCTGGTAAAATGGTTCATGAAAATTCCTTGGTTACTTCATATATTTTTGTTCCAAAAAATCCTGCAATTATGAACTAATTTTGTGATTTAATTTGGACTGTGAAGGGAATTGGTGGATAGAGTTGGACGCAACGACAACACCAGCATCTGGTACAATATCAATTGACACACCCCTAATGATTGCTACCGAGAATGGTGTGATAGAAATGATGGAGAAAATTCTGGAATTATTTCCATCCACTATTACAGATGTAAATGATAAAGGGAAAAACATATTTCTACTAGCAATAGAATATAGGCAGACAGATGCATACAAGTTTTTGTGCGAACAGAAATGGCTAAGGGAAAGTTTGTTCGGGCAAGTGGATAAAGAGGGAAACAACGCATGGCACGTGGCAACAAGTCTTGAGTTTAACCGTAATCAAGACATTGGGGAAGTAATCGACATGGAAAACGAACTGATGGGCTGGATTCATGTGGGTATCTAATGGCTATATTTAAAGCATATCACTATTTCAAAGATTTATTTGATATTAAGATATATAGACATGGTAAGTTGATGTATGTATATATGGTGACGCAGTTAGTGGATAAGTCACTCCCCCGTGCTTTGTGGTGGAGCAGATTCAATAGGAAAATGGAGACTCCGAGAGACATGTTGAGAAAGAGTAAAGAGGAACGTATGAAAATCAAGCAAGAGTGGGCGGCTAGAACCTCAAAGGCGTGTTCTGTAGTGTCGACCCTTGTCGTATCGGTGGCCTTTGCCACACGTACCAGTATACCAGGTGGTTATGATGAGAACGGCTATGCGATCCTTAGAAACAAGCCACAAGCATTCAAAATTTTTAAAGATTCTTCATTGGTGGCCCTCTTCTTCTCTCTCATTTCCACCGTCTGCTTTCTATCTATGGTTGCTTCTCCATCTCGTCAGTATTTTCACACTGAGAGATTCGTTCCTTCCAGGTTTTACCATGGTTTGTACTTCATGTTCGGCTCCATTGTTTGCTTGTGGATCTCTTTCTGTGCCGGTGATTTCTTCTTGCTCCATGACAACAGTCAAAAATCGCACAAGGCTTTTCTAACTTATATTTTGTTGTCATCGGGCTTCCTTCTTATTGTTGTCTCACAGCTCCCCATATTCCTTCGTCACAAGTTTTTTTGGCTTTTAACAGGGACCCCTGCCCCAAGAATAGCGCCCATTCCTCCCATTCAGTACCGAAGGACCTAGATCTGAACCACCAAAATTAAGCCCATATCATGTCTTGTTTTATTCACCGCTTCCATTGTAAAAGCTTCTGTGGGATCTGATGTTTTTATTTCTTTTCTATTTCTAACAATATATGTACGTGGGCATACTCTCGCTCCATCACAGGCTGTAGTTTGAGTTTTATATCTTTTCAACCCCACTTATATTGCCTCCTCATTGATGGCTTTTGGGGTTCTCACAAGATTCATCTTATCTTGTTCAAGTGTATGACTTGAACCTATTGAGTGATTTAATTAATTGGATCGATTAATTAAATAATTGGGATAATTATCACTTGTAAATGTTAAATTGTTTAAGTGCGAGCGGATTTAAGTTGATGTGGAAAGTTTCACATTGAATAACAATGGGCTTAATAAATAACGTATATGAGCCACCAAGAAGAAGGAAGAAAATAAAGTTGCGACGGATTGAAACTTATTATATGGTTCAAACGAGACCCATCATCATCACCCTTTGTTTTTAGAACCTTGTCTCTGATTAATTTGATATTATGACGATTTCACTTCAAAGTTCAAATGGCGGTATCTTTCACAAGAACTGAATGGCTTGAAAAAATGACAAGTCATGTGTCTTTAGTAATCACAGATTTCTTCAACAATCAAGAGAGCCCAAGAGCTATATTCCAGAACAAGAGCTTAACAATTAGTAAAGGTCGTCCCGTTTGCAAAGTAATATA